AAGTCATCACACTCATTATGTATTTGTTGTTAGAAGTCATCACACTCATTATGTATTTGTTGTTAGAAGTCATCACCATCACTATGTATATGTTGTTTTTGGACATTTTGTGTTATGTGCTGTTGGTAGTTACCATCATCAGTATTTATCTATACTTATATGACTGCTAATCTAGAACAGATTACTTCCCAAGATTTGGATTTAGCTTTTCTTTTTAACACTCTTTACATATAATTTACATCAGAATGGATAACTTGTCTTTCCTAAAGAAGACTAGCATGAAATAATAAATCTGTTGGGATAATACTTACTTGTTAGAGCTGCTTCATAGATAACTCCAGTGTAGTAGTCCAGTCCTCGAGCTAAACTCAAGTCAAAATAAATCTATATAAAGGAATAAAACACAGGAATACTAAATATCTTATACAAACATTAGATTAAAAAAAAGCTTTGAACAATAATAAATATAGCAAGAAGAAACATTCAATTAAAATAGGCTGCTTTAATACTTCTCTTTTGTGAAATTTTAGCGTTGTTAAATAACAAACATATTTCTATAATTTTGACTTACATTTAATATCTTTAATAATAGTATACAACAAAAATAAAGTAGCTGAGGAGGGCTGCTGGCATTTTCCATTACCTTCTAGAACAAAATAATTAAGATTAATACCCAAGACAACAAGATGGTATTACAGCCCCCAGTAAGGACTAGAAACCTATATTAACAGTCCATGAAGATCAGACAAGACAAGACTGGTATCATGGCTCCCAATAAGGAACATAAACCTATATTAACACTATATCAAGATGAAGATGATAAGAATGGTGTTATAGTCTCCAGTAAGGAAAAGGAACTTATACGGACAGTCCACAGAGACCTTAGATGACAAGACTGGTATTAAAACATAACAATGTTTTGGGACAACAATGGACCTATTGGTCCATCTCGGGTGCCCCATCCTCTAAACTAAACTATTGAACAAATAAAAGAAAAATCTTAAAGCTAACCCTTATCATTTGTATAGCTATCAAGCATTCTCTTAAACTTACTTAAATTTACTGCCTCCACAACATCTGAAGGCAATTCATTACAAAGGCTAACTACCTTGTTAGAAAAATATAATTGTCTTACCTGAAGATGACTCCTACCCTGCCAAAAATTTATATATGTGTCCCCTAGTCCTTAAGTATGAAAAAAAAATGATGCATCAACAATATCAATTCCCTTTACAATCTTAAATACCTCAATCAGTTCCCCTCTTAACTCTTTTTTTTTTTTGAAGAAAACAATTTGGGAGATTTCAACCTTTGCTCATATCAAAACCCCTCCATCCTAAGCACCTGAACCCTTTCCAAATATTCAGTGTACTTTCTAAGGTAAGGAGCCCAATATTAAACACAATACTCCAAATGTTGCATAACCAGTGACATGTACAATAAAATTATCATCTTTTTAGACTTGTATTCAATATTTCTGTAGATACAACCTAATATCCTATTTGTCCTACCACTAGCAACAACACACTGCTTGGATGGCTTTAGAGACTCACCAGCTATTATACCGGAATCCCTTTCTTTCATGACACTGTTAAGGTTATTCTCATCCAAGTTTTACTTATAATTCAAATTATGATAACCCACTTGCATTATCTTGCATTTATTATAAGCAAAACCCATTTGCCATATATTCACCCATCCATGTCATTGATGTAAATCTAAAAGAGCAAAGGTCCTAAGAATGAACCCTGAGGTACCCACTTGAAACATTAATCTAGTTTGACTGAGTCTATTTGTAACAACCCTCTGCTTTCTTCCATCCAGCCACTCTTCTATCCAATTTTCTAACACATTCCCCACATCTATAAAGATATTTTTTAAAAGCCTTTTATATGGCACCTTGCCAAAAGCATTCTGAAAATTCAGATACACCAAATCTACACCCATGCCCTCATCTACATAAGCAGTAACCTTTTCAAAGAATGTCAAATGACTTGTAAGGCAAGATTTTACCTTAGTGAAACCATGGTGACTATTCAATAAAATTTTAAACTTTGTTAAATGACTTTGCAAAGCCGCTTTTATGAGATTTTCCCAAACTTTTCCCACAACCGATGAATGACAAATGGGCCTATGATTAATGGGACAATAATGACTAGAAACCTATATTAAAAGTATATTAAGACCCAAGACTGGTACTACAGACCCAACAATGACTAGAAACCTATATTAACAGTATATTAAGACCGAAGACCAGTATTACAGACCCGACAATGACTAGAAACCTATATTAAAAGTATATTAAGACCGAAGACCAGTATTACAGACCCAACAATTACTAGAAACCTATATTAACAGTATATTCAAACCCAAGACCAATATTACAGACCCGACAATGACAAGAAACCTATATTAACAGTATAATAAGATTCAAGACCAGTATTACAGACCCGACAATGACTAGAAACCTATATTAAAAGTATATTAAGACTGAAGACCAGTATTACAGACCCAACAATGACAAGAAACCTATATTAACAGTATAATAAGATTCAAGACCAGTATTACAGACCCGACAATGACTAGAAACCTATATTAAAAGTATATTAAGACCGAAGACCAGTATTACAGACCCAACAATGACAAGAAACCTATATTAACAGTATAAGAAGATCCAAGACCGGTATTACAGACCTAACAATGACTAGAAACCGATATTAACAGTATATTCAAACCCAAGACCGGTATTACAGACCCGACAATGACTAGAACCTACATTAAAAGTATATTCAGACCGAAGACCAGTATTACAGACCCGACAATGACTAGAAACCTATATTAACAGTATATTAAGACCCAAGATGTATATTATTAGTATATTAAGACCAAAGACTGGTATTACATATAATGACTAGAAACCTATATTAACAGCACATTAAGACCCAAGACTGACCCAATAATGACTAGAAACCTATATTAACAGTATATTAAGACCCAAGACTGGTATTACAGACTAAACAATGACTAGAAACCTATATTAACACCCAAAACTGGTATTAAAGACCCAATAATAACTAGAAACTACATTAACAGTATAACAACTCTCATCAACGGTGTATTTCTAACAATGAGGTATTTCTTCTACAAGGTACATTCTACACTTCGTGGGTATTCTCCTGATGGTATGTACATCGTCTATCAGAATACTTCTTGTTTTCTGTTGCTTCGGTCCAAGTTGTATTTGTCTGTGCTACTGGTATCATGCTCCCTTTAAGGAAATACTCAATTCAGAATAGAGGAATATTTAGCATAATCCTGTTAAAGGCTATAAATATAAACTTATAAGAAACAATTTGACTACCTTTTGGGTATATGAAGAACACAACATTTTCATTCAACTAATTCTTTACTCTTTTTGAGAAATTACAGTTAAAATATGGAACCACCCAACATTACCTTATCACTTATTCCATAAATTTCACAGTACTTGAAGAACAGTTTCATTGCTTCTAACCCTTCTCGACCTGTTCCATTGCCTGCAAGATCTTCATTATTTAGAAGTTCTTCTATAAGGTCTAAGCCACCTTGAAAATGCAGTGCACTAAGTTAATAAATCTATCACAAGAATAAAAAACTTTCTAGTTCAAATTACTTGTTTGTGAAGAATATTTTAAATGAAAACTTTTCATGTTAGTCCTTATTAATGTTAAAATTTTACTATTTCTTTTTTTTTTCAAATTATCTTAAAATCAGAAATTTAGAACATCTGAAAAACACGACTTATGCTGAACACATCATGTATATTTATATATATTAAGTTCTGATCAAATTTTGATTAGAACTGAAAGAGTAACAAGTAATCTTTAGAAAACAAATGGTACAAGCAACTGATACAAGAACACTTTCCTCAATATTCTCAAGAAAATTTTGATCTGAAATAATTCATGAAGGTTTGCATGTTGGTGAACTAAGCTCACTCAAGCTGAAACAAGTTATAAGCACTTAAAAAAGCTCCAGTATAACTCACACGGGAAACCTTTGATTATCTGTTAGTTTCTTCTTTTTACATTTGAACTGTTTTACTCTAATGGAAAAAGACATAAAAAAGCCATTAAAAATATATATACCATTTCTCTGGATGTAAATGCCTATTCTTTCTGCAACCTTGGGAGACAGACCTTTTTCCTCAATCATCTCAGCCTTCACCTCTTCCCAAGAACACTGTAAACCAAAACAAATCATCATCTCTGTTTGAAATAAAAAAGAAAAGCACATGAATTTTTCTCATTATAAAGCATTTTCGTGATTAGCAGTATAAAAATAGTCAAGTATTTTAGACTAATAACTATCATGATTAGCAGCATATACATAGTCAAGTACTTAATCAGACTAATCACTGTCATGATTAGCAGCATAAACATATAGTATTGTGCAAAAGTGCTAGGATAAGAGAATATTTTGTCATTCTTTCCATTTTATGGGTCTCATTTTTCCATGCCATTATAGAATGTAAATTTCAACACTATGGTAATGCTTCACTAATATTTGTTGACAATTGAACGAGCCAGGGTAAGGGAATACTTATCATTCTTTAGAATTCCCACATATCTGTACCAAGGACATGTCATAAGAGTTCTGCTTGAATGAACATTCTGATCAAATTTTGGGTCTGAAATAACTGTCATGGTACACCATGTTGTGTCTTAACTATATAGAAACAAGCTAGCAGGGAGCTATCATATGGTAGCAGTATATGCTAGAGGAAATCGGTTTAATAGCACTCCACAAATAAACCTTGATAAAAACAGTGTTTAACACTAAATATTAAGCTTTGTTGTTATGTCATAGCCCAAAAAACGTAGAGAATTATCAGTAGAGCAAAGAGTTTGCATAAAAACTTTACGTGATGCTGGTTGGACCCTCCAACAAATTTCTGCTGACTTGAAATGCTCCACAAACACTGTAAAGTACACTCTAGATAGTGAGACCGAGACAGGAAAATTTGAAAATGGGAAAAGAAGAAGTAAAACACCTAAACTCAATGATACTGATGTTAAATATCTTCATTTATGCAGCCCTCAGGACAGAAGGAAGACTGCCACTGACATCAAGCATGAGATAAATGATCATGTACCAAATGACAGAAAAGTTTCGAGATCTACAGTATCAAGAAGACTCAAAGAGAATGGAATATTTGGTCGTGTAGCAGTTAAAAAACCTTTATTTCAATCTTCAAATATTTTCAAGAGATTGAAATTTGCTAAAACATACAAAAACTGAACTCCTCATGATAGGAAAAGGGTGTTATGAATGGACAAGTCCAAGTTTGAAATATTTGGTTCAAAGCGTATGTTGTACGTCTGGGGGAAGAAAGGTGAAAGATGCTTACCTCAATGCATAGTACCTACCATGAAGCATGGGGGAGGCATAGTGCTGGTTTGGGGGTGTTTGTCTGCTGAAACAACAGGAGATATTTGCAAAATAGATGGAATAATGGACCAGCGCAAGTACCATCAAATACTGATCCATCAAGGTATACCCAGTGGTTTGCATATTAATGGTAAAGGATTCTACTACCAATAAGATAATGACTCCAAACACTCGTCCAACCTGTGCAGAAATTACTTAGTAAAATAAGAAAGAAACTGTTGGAGTCATTCAAATGATGCAATGGCCTCCTCAGAGCCCCAATCTCAACCCAATTCAGCAGATCTGGGATTTGATAGATCAAAAACTTGACAAATCAAAAGTTACTTCCAAAGAAACTTTATGGGAGTGTATTAGAGACATTTGGAGTAAAATCCCAAAGGACACTTTGATTAGATATCTTGCAACAATGCCTGAAAGACTGTCTGCAGTTATCAAAGCGAAAGGGGGACACCCAAAATATTAACTGTGTGCTGAACTAAAGCACTTCCACTGTGTTTCTGTTGTATTAAATATAAAGATAAATAAAATTTTGATGTTTCACTTGTGATTTACCTTCCATTGTTCTTTGAAAGTACCCTGAAATCTAATTTTTCACTTTGTCCTAACACTTTTACACAGTACTATAGTCAAGTACTTAGTCAGACTAATCACGGTTACGATTAGCAACATATACATAGTCAAGTACTTAGACTAATCACCATTATGATTAGCAGCATATACATAATCAAGTACTTAGACTAATCACTGTTGTGATTAACAGCATATATAGTCAAGTATTTAATCAGACTAATAACAACCATGATTAGCAGTATAAACATACTCAAGTACTTTATCATATTACTCACTGTCATGTGAATAGTATGTACATAGTCACGTACTTGTCAGGCTAATCATTGACATTATTAGCAGCATATACATAGTGAAGTATATAATCAGACTAATCACTACCCTGATTAGCAGCATATACATAGTCAAGAGCTTAATGAGACTAATCACTACCATGGTTAGCAGCATAAACATACTCAACTACTTAATCAAATTATTCACTGTCATGACTAACAGCCTATACATCATCATGTACTTAGAGTAGTTTTTCTCTATAATTATCAAGAAAATAACATGAAAATGATTAAACCTGCATCCTGACCCTAAGATCACCTGCAAAACTTCACATGAATTATAAACACTTAAATATACAATCAGTAGTAAGTACATTACAAGCTAAGACTAGCTCATGACACTACCTGGCCCAGTTTGTCAACAGAAGAACAAACACTGCGAAAGTTGTCTGATGAAACACCACACACTTCAAATATTTTGTCTAATATCTTACGATGGTTAACCTGTAAAGAAAAAGTTCATCTTTATCACACCTTCATTAATTGGTTACTTATAACTGTTTTTAATTTTTAAAAAATCGTAACTTTATGTCAAAGTTTTTTTATGTGTGAAAAAGTTAAAACTATCAATCCTTCCATAGTATTCAAAATTTTAGAAAAATAATTACTTTGACCACAAAGTCTCCAAGATTCAGATCAGATAGGATTTCCACAGCAATCTTTACACATTCCACATCAGGAAGCATCAAGTCATGCTGGCCTGCAATGTCAAAGTCCTATAACAGAAACATTATTACTAAAATGGAAACTTAATAATCATAATGTAGCCATGTCACCAAAGTTTCTCTTTATACAACAGTGAATATAAAATTTTTGTCTTGTACAAAACTGATCTTACATCCTCTTAGTATATGGTCTATGCATCAAACATGTAACATCATAGTTTCACCAAAATGTATTCAGATGCTGTTAAAAAAAAATAGGATAATTTTTGAAGGACCCACAGAATGAAAAGTTTTGTTAATGTCACATTTAAAGAACTGTTGTTCTTCAAAGTTATTAATGTCATCTCATGAAGTCTGACCACTGGTGCTCTCTAGTGGTTGTTAACTCTTTGTAATTCAACACTGAACTAAAGTCTGAGTGTACACAGATGTCTAAGATTTTCTAAATGCTCCATTTGGTGATCTTTTTCTCATTTCCAAAAACTAACTGTACATATCCAATCCTTTCTAAGACAAACACCAGCAACAGAAAGTAAGTTTTATTTGTTTTGAGCTCCTGTAAAATTCTGGATGTCAAGTCATACTTCTTTTATAAAGTTTTCAGCACAATTAGTTACTTGTAGGCTTAAAAAATCACTAGTTAGATAGAATACATATTATAACCATATTCAATCTTTCAGCCCTTTAGTGTGTTAATGAAATCACATAAAACAATATTTTATTCTAGTTTTTCAATATGCTCTTTGAGAATAACAGAAATGCATCAAATGCTATGTGTATACCTGAAACCAATTTCCAGTTTGAGAATGTAAGCCTTCTTTTTTCTTGGAAACTCAAATAAGATTTTACAGCCTAGAAGTTTCTAAGTTTCCTAATTCCCTAAGAAGAAAGCTCAAACTTTTCTAAAAGCTAGACTATTTGTTTTACTTTTCTTATATGTTGCTTATATTTTTCAGTGATTTATTATCAAATTCCAATGCGCCAAAAAGATTGTCATTTAAGTCTTTATTCTTCTTGATTAGCTAAAAAACATTTTGATATGCAAAGCCAAAACTCTTCTAAAGGAAACCTCTAGTGTTTCTAAGGAAATTCTAATAGAGTTGATCATCTAAAGGAAACTTCCAGTGTTTGTGAGAAAGATCTAATGGAGTTGACCATCTAAAGAAAAGGTTGTGTTTCTAGGAAAGATCTATTGGCATTGACCAACTAAAGGAAACAACCAGTGTTTTTAAGAAAGATCTAATTTGCAGAGGCCATGAATTCAGAAATCTATTAACTTCAGTATGAAATATAAAAATAAATATACAGAAAGCAACAAGTGTAATTTACAATAGTTGAACAAAAATATTAATATAAAACTATTAACTCCAGTACAGAAGGTAAAAATACACAGAAAAACAAACAGTTGTAATTTGAAATAGTTGAAAAAAGGTTAATATCAAACTATTAACTTTGTGCAAATGGTATAGTAAAAATATAAAAAATGCCAAGTGTAATTTGAAATAGTTGAACAAAGACATTAATATAAAACTAGTAACTTTAGTACAGAAGGTAAAAATACACAGAAAAACAGGTGTAACTTGAAATAGTTGAACAAAGACATTAATATAAAACTAGTAACTTTAGTACAGAAGGTAAAAATACACAGAAAAACAGGTGTAACTTGAAATAGTTGAACAAAGACATTAATATAAAACTAGTAACTTTAGTACAGAAGGTAAAAATACACAGAAAAACAGGTGTAACTTGAAATAGTTGAACAAAGACATTGATATGAAACTAGTAACTTAAGTAAAGAAGGTAAAAATACACTGAAAAACAGGTGTACTCTGAAATATAAAACTATTAACTTGGTGCAAATGATAAAAATATAAAAAATGTATCATAGAGAAAAACCCTTCACTAATAGGAATGCAACACACCTGATTGCACAACTGTTCCCCTACATTCACGTGCAAAATATTTCATTATTTGATGAGGCCATAAATAAAGTTGCACTAGAAAAGTGGGGTAGATGGGTGGGAATGTGTATGGAGGTATCTATCAGAAATATATTTGCAATTAAGGAAAGTGTTAACTTTTCATACAATCACTCACCTCCATACACTGAGTGGTCACAAGCAAATAGACACCTAATTTTTCGTCATTTAACTGATTTATGCTAACTAAT